GCTTTCCTGCTAGCAAGTAACTTCTCACTCATTTATCTGCTACTTCTCAGAAAAAAATGAGGGCAACTGGAACTTGCTCTTGCCCTCCCTAAGGAAACCAGGCAGAAGAGAGAACTAACTTGGATCCTCAAATAACAATAAACATCCACTTTACCTCCACTTCTCTCCTCAAACAAGCCTGGGATGAAAATCATCAATACCCTACAGCAGCTGTCAGGTTCTAAAAGAATTGCGAATATAGTGTCCTACCTCTCCCCTCTTTTCCTGTCTTTCCCGAACATTAGAAACAAGGGAAGAGGTTTTAGGGAAAGCAACCCAGCAGAGCAGCTAGCACAATGCCAAATGTGCTCTTGCCAAACAAGAACTCAATCTAAATCATTAGCCATGATGTACCACATGGAACCAAAAGTACAGAGTTTAAAACTGATGGGCTAATTCCAAGCATCATTGAAAAACAGTTTTCCAAACCATGGTTTGGGCTGAACAGAAATTATCTCTAAGATAAAGCACTCAAGCATCATTGCAATCTTCACTGCCATATTCCCCCTGAAATTATTTGACATTTGTAAGTAATTTTTTTATTTATATATTTTTTGTTTTCACATTTATACAGCTTCTGGGTTTATTACTTTAGTAAGGGCTGCTCACTCACGTGTGCGGAGAATGCCTTAATGTTCTGGAATTACAGGTAAGAGGGCTCTACATCTCCTTCAGCTACAAGGAGGGAAAATTCTTGAGAAGCTAAAAAAAAAAAAAAAAGTCAGTGAGAGGCTGGCTTCCTGCAACTGCTGACATTTATCAGTTATTAGTCATTAGTCGAAACCGATAATGATGGGCAGTCAAGCATAATGCTTCTTGTCTTTTGTTTTCAGCAACGATAAATTGCAGTTTGCTGCCAAACAGTGCCTCGAAATGGCGAAAAGTACTTAAACTTGCTTCAGATGAGCAACTGGGTGCACGCCAATTTCTACATGAACAGTCATATGCATGTTCCTGCACAGCAGGATGTGATCAAACTATTCAAAGCTGTAAAACCAGGTTTGCTTGCCAGTTACGTTATTGCTTCAAGATCAGGGTATTAGAGATGACACTTCACTGGCCATGAAAACACTGCTTTTCTTTGGGAAAAAAAAAATCCTACATGTTTAATATTTAAATTTTTGTAGAGTATCAGACTGCTACCAATTACAAAATATCTACAGAACTAAAACTAGGACTGAAAACATATCAAACGTGATCCTCAGAACTATAAGGCATACTACTATTTAGTTTCTTTAAAACCACTTCCTTCAAGCTGTACCAATTAAAGGGTCACTTTCTGATACAGTAGAAAAGTTATTTCGATGACTTGCTCAAGTCCCCAGATTTGGCTGCCAACCCTTTAATCATATTAACATTCCTGTCCATAAGGTGTGAGGGGCGGCTGCCAGTGTGAGCCATTGCATTGCATTGCCTCCTGCTGGAAACCATCCTCTCAAGCATTTTGTGAAGATCATATAATGCAGCTATGGCCATATTTAATCTTTAATTTTCAATCTCACTAATTTGACAAACATTTTACTCAACATTCCTTTGCTCAAGCAAGGAATACTTTTGAAGGCAGACAGAACAGCAATACAATCCACTGAAAAGTTTTTTTTTTTTTTTTCCATTAAGACAAACCTTAATAATATAGACAATAAACTGAATTTTTATTTCTCATGACAGTCAATTTCTTACTCCGTTTCCTTTTCTGATATCAGTCATAAAACAGACACAAGTTCTCCAGTATAGCACAATATCTGTTCACTAACAAATATATCTTGGCAAACATAACCAAACAGTTGAGTTTGTTTTTTTAAGGGAGTTGGTACAGGAGAAGATGGATGTCAATGTTTAGCCATGCTTTAGTTGTTTGTTTTCTATTCACTTGAAAATACATACTAAAAGTAGTATCAAATATTTGAGTTTATACCATTTTATTTGTTTTCACACATACAAAAAGTAGTTTGCATATTTGCTCAGCAATGTAGTGAATGATCTAAGATTACATACACATGTGCAGCTCAATACAGTGATAATAGTGCCTCGAGCTGCTCCAAACAAGACATGATATTCACATGTCAAATACCAAAAAAAAAAAAAAAGGTAGTGGGGCTTAGGTATTATGATCAGAAAGAATCTATTCATACATTTCAGAGACATGGACAGTGCCTTTTATCTTTTCAAGAACAATAAAAAAAGAAAAAAAAAAGAAAAATAAAGGAAAATAAAAAGGAAAATTCCAACAAAAAAATCACAACTAATTAACTATTTCAAAGCTGTTGTACAACAACAGTCCAGTAAAACATAACTTGGCATTACAACCAGCAGAGAAGTTACGGTAAAGTTATACTTCAAGGACTCTTTGAAGACAGCTGTATTTAGTTGGTCACAGGAGACGCAGAGATTAGAGAATATGGATTCTTTAAGAAAGTTAAAGGGTCCTTAGCTCAAATGAAACCAACGAGTTAGAGCTGCAAAGAATTCTGTATTATTGTTGTTTACAGCAAAAAAACCCATAAATCCTACAAGATACAGCCCCCAAACTGGATGCTAGCTGTATATTCATTGTGCTTAATTGTCAACTGCCAGGTTATAGTAAAGAAAACCATAAGATAACAGACAAACACAGACTGTACAAACCCTTATTTAACAGATAACCAATTCCATGAGAGAACTGCCTATGTGGGTCACCCAAACAGAATTGCTGTCCCAGCACTGTACAATGGCTTGTAGAAATACATCTTACAAAATGAATCATGAAGCATTTAGCTTCCACTGCCCAATGACTTCTAAAATGCCAATTTCCAGAGGTCAGCAACAGCATGTTACGGTGTACTCCACTTCTGCTTTGTCTCCACTTATTCTTACCAAGACTCCATCATTATTTGATGTCACCTCCCATGAAAAGAGAAAGATTTTAACTTGCAAATGTTATGAATACCTGAGGCTGCCTTGGGTGGAAATTCTAATAATTTACATTTGTTATGCTAAACATATACATCCCCTGAATTAGATTCAGTCCCTTTGTGGTCTAACGTAGGAATCCCTCTCCCATTGTTCTTGCTGTTAGCACTGTAATAACTACTGCTATTGCAATGTTAACAAAAGACTACTAATAATTCAAGTATGGTACAAATTCCCAAGGAATCATCATGCAAGAAATACAGGTTGAAATGGTAGCTTCAGTTCCCAGGATCTATTTTATGGATTCAATAGCCACAGTCATGAAAGCATCATAGTTATAGAAACACAATGCAAGCTCAATAGAGTCCTATTAGTAATAATTAGTTTAAAACAATTACAGTTTGCAATCAGTATCAATCAGAGCAGTCCAACATAATACCAAATGCTGATAAAAGAAATCTTATTTGAGAAGTTGGGAGGCAGGAAGAAGGGGATGGGAGGAGGTTAATATTTTATTTATTTTTAACTGTACCTTGACATTGTTACTTGACATCATCTGTGCATTTTCTGACATTCAAGGTGGGTATGCTGTCTGTGGCATTTAAACCATTATGTAAAATACTGATCTTTTATTAATTTCCATACTAATTTCTTGGAAAAAGTGACTTTCACACATATGTCTGTAGATTACACTACATGCGGATGGTTTAAAAATAAACCCAATTAAAATATATATATAATACCCTACAATAATATTCAGAAGCTAACAAAAGTTTTATGGTCCAAATATATCTGAAAGCACATTTGGAGGCTGAAGCAAAAAAATGATAAAACTTGAATATATCAAAAGATCCTTCTTCTTTGCTGAAAGCTCTTATAAGCAAGAAATTTGGTCAAAATTAAAAAATGCATAAAATTTTGGCAAGACTGTTGGATGTTCACCAGTAACCAGACTGGTTATCCTTATTATAGAAAGCAAAAGAAAGCAGAGTGAAAAGATGAAGTTGCAACATTAACAAGCTTTGCAGTGGTTTAATGCATAAATCTTTTTAAGCACCAAGTGGAAAGGGTTTTCCGGTTAAAGTAGGATAGAACATAAAAATGATGATTGCAAAAAGGCAAAAATTTCAGGGTGTGAAAAGGGGATTCTTCTACCAGGTGACTTCTTGATATAATGTAAATTTAACAGAAGTTATTTAGGTGTGGGCAATCTTGGATATTTACACTGAGGGAAGATTTGTACTTTCTATTTTGAAGCAAGAGCTAGATGAAACTTCTCGCTTGGGATGAATGCACAAGGAGTTTCACCCAGTCTGGAGTCTCTCAATTCTATACTCCCTGTCCACTCTGCTTCTTCCTACAGCTCATTCCCATGGAGTCAAATTCACTTTTTTTTTTTTTTTTCAGAAGACAAAATCAGGAAGAAAGAAAATTGTGGAGAGAAACCCAGAACAGCTCTGCTGTGAGACAGAAGCACCAAGGAGACTCTCTCCACGATGAGAATGAGAATAACATTCTTTTGGGAAAATAAAGGGAAGAGAATCAGTGATCTGAGTGGCAGAAAGGACATCAGCTTTTAGTAGCCTATGTAGCAGAGGCATGACACTCAAAAAGGATTACGTGTCTATTTTCCTGCATATAAAGTAACCAAGGGAAGAGTTGCTTGTTTTGCTGCATACAGTATTATCACCTTTTAATGCAATATTTCTAACACTTATCATTTTAACCCTTTACAACTCCTTGAGGTCCAGTTTGCTGGGGTCCGATGCTTTACAGAACTATAGCATCCTGCAAAACCAAGCTCTTTGTAGCTTTTTGCATTATCAGTATACTTAAAGCTATTTTCTTTCAAGAATCGAGACAGTGATTGCATGCAAAAAACAAACAAACAAAAACTTGCTTGTGAAATATATTTACAGTACTTTCACGGGCACTCCTATCATGCAGAAAGCATAGCTCAATCAGCCACTTGCCATTAGGGAAAATAAAATGTAGCAATTTTCCTCTCCAGAAGGAAAGCAAGAAAAAAAAGTAATTTTATATTGAGCGATTATATGCTTGTAGAGACTTACTTGAGACAAAGCAGCATCCCGTTGCTCTATCACTGCATTCATTTCCTCAGCTACTATTTTCTTTTTACGTTCTTTCGTCCTGTGTATTCGATTCAGAATTATAGCTCCATTCTTCAGTATATCTACGCCAGTGTCTGCATTGTTTATTCTGTTCAGTAATTCCTGTAATGTCTACCAACAGCATTATATGTTAGTCAGACATGAAGTTTTAATATATTTTATTTAATATAGGGTTTTAATTAATAGGCACATGTGAATTGTAAATTGACTGAGTGAAGTTATTGAATTTTCATATTGCAGCAAAGATGTACATTATTAGTGTGTCAATTCTTCTTTTTCCCACATCTTAGTTCTTGAAACCCACTCAATTGAACTTAAGCCTCTAAGATATAAGACTGACATCAAGAAATCTCCTCAGAGAATGGCTTACCATGTCATTTTCTTCAGGGTTAATATTTTCTAGCCTAGAAAAAAGGGACACAGAAAGCCTGATCAGTAGCATTTCCTTAGTGCAGCAAAATGAGTTCGCTTTTTAAATCTTTAGAACCTCAAGTAATTTCATTCTACTAGTCTTTAGAGTCAACCATGACACTGAACATATTAAAGTGCCACCTGCTCGACTCCATCTTTCAATAATGCTCCATATCTTCAGCACTGACTTCAGACTGTTAAGTTATTAATGTTTACTGCTATATATGACTACAAGGATCAATTGTTCATATGTGCTTAGATGAAGAAAGTTCCCTAGTGATAGAAATGACTGATGCTTTTATTTTATTTATTTCTGGACTTACAACTTCTGCTTGACGCTGTGTTTTGTTTTCATTGCACCCCAAATGAAACAGGACAAGGCTTTAAAAAGAAAAGAAAACAAAATATTCTCTAAAAAAGTCATTTGCCACCTCCTCCTGCCAAAAGAAGGAAAAACAAGTAGTTAAAAGTTTCCTTTGAAATATTCTGCTTTAACGTTTTGCATAAAATAGCACATTAAGCCAATTTTCTGCAAGGCCATCTTTTAATTCTGCCTGCATTTCCCCACTTTAATTTCAAGAGAACTTGTTCTTAACTGTTAAGTATAAAGATGATATGCAGAATTAAGTCATATGCAATAGAACACCAGCTGTGCAAAAGCAGTGAGTTATATAGCACAAACACCTAATAAATGGGTATGTATTTTATTTTACCAAAGCTATACATGCAGCATGTTATTTATAACATTTATGTGCATTTTAAAATGGAAGAGACCTCTTCAATATTTTTAATCTGTCTATTTAAGCCTATTAAAGAGCTACAATTCCACTTCATGCTAATTAGCAGTGACATTTATTAAAAGTAAGCCTGTCACAGACTAGCATATAATATTTTAAAAGACAGCAGTCATTGAACAGCAACACAACTCAGTGTGAGAGTTGCTGCTCTAAGGCCAAGATTTAAGCCAGCAAACATTGTACAGGGCTTGATAGCATACTAACATTTCACCTTAAAGTGTCAGTTACCAGTTACTGGTCCATATGGCATAGTAAATCAGCCAATACAGAAATCAACCCTTTCAATCAAAAAGAAATAACAACAATGTACTACCAGTGTATGGTGGTTGGCATATTTACAGAGAGCTTGCAAGCAGCACCTGCTTCCAACACATCCAGTCACCATTAGATCTAAACCAAACAAAGCGAGAGCTAACTTTTGCTCGTGTTGACTCATATTCATAAAGTAGCACAAACCAAAAAGCAACAGACACTTGAATTCAGATTCTCACATCTGAAGTGGCTCCTTACAGAGTTCCTGCTTTAGGAGTAGAGCTTATCTGCTCTGTTCTGATATCCACTTGTCATTGGACTTAACAGGGGTCTCTGCCTAGTCTGTATTTACAGTGAAGTATATTTCTTAAGCTGGTTGGCAAGATTCACCAGAGGATTTCTCCCCTGCAAAAAGCAGGGCCAACCAAAGTGGGTCAACAGAATACCTCAGCTAACCGTCCAGCTGAGCGGGGAGGCTAAAGAGGGGGAAAATGGGGAAAGGAAAACAGAGCAGGAACTTCCATCTCCTGTCACAAGACTTCTGTCTGTAGGCATACACACACACACACACACACACACACACACAGATCATCTTTTTTTAGTTCTCTCATGATATGAAGCAGCAGTAAGCAAGGATACCTCTAGGGGGTACTTCAGGGAAAAATGTAAAAATAGAAGAAAAAGGTGACAGGATTGAAAGCTTTGGCTGTTACAGCTGAACAGTGACACCAGAATTGCTCTAGCAGGGAATTTAAAGGAAGCTTTAGAGCACTCAGTGAAGGCTGGCAGGATGCCTAACATTGCCCTCTTGTAAAAATCTCTGACTGGAACAAGTCCAAGCAGATGGGGGAAGTTCCTGGGGTTGTAAAACTTGTCAAGGGTGGCAAAACTAACCAGTGGACTTTACAAAGAGCTGCCCTATGTGCTCCATTTGATGTTCTCTGAGGTGAGAGAGGGTGACTGCCAACAACCAGCACCAGGAAGGAAATAATGGTGAGTTAGTTTCTAGTTCCAAGATTCCGGAACAAAGCCAAAAACTACATAAAATAAACTAAGTTCCTCATGGTTCATCCCATCACCTCTGCTGTTTCCAAAGGATTAGTAGAGAGGTAAGATGGACTCTAGGGAGAAAAAGAAAAAAAGAAAGAAAGAAAAAAAAAAAATGCACCAGCCACACTATGAAACTATTCACAATAAAGAGTCTGAGAAAAAAATTTTTTTTTCCTGGAATTCACTCTCCTTCTGAGAGGTTGGCAGGTAAAAATGATGGTTGCTTAGGCTGAACAGTGAGACATACTTCAATGGTAAGTTAGAGGTGAGGTTACTCTACTCTTACAAATACTGCAGATGTCAAGTGACCTTTAAGCACCTCAAATGCACTCATCTTGAGAAACTAATAATAAGCAGAAAGACATAACAGAACAAGGTGCTAGAGAAGCAAACGTTTTAAGCGAGGCTCAAGAGGACTACTGATATTACAGAGTACATGAACATATCTGAATGCACAAGAGGTGATAGTGACTGATAGAAATATTGTAGTTTTTTTTTTTTTTTAAATAACTGTAGTGAATTCAGCATATTTGCAGCACAGTCCTGACTTGCTCTTCCCATTGTAAGATGCCAGTCATCCAGACAGAAGTAGAAATAAATATCTTGCTATCTCAGTTGAAAGATCAGCACAGTTAGCAAAGACACAGCGAAAAGCCAAACTAGCAGAGCTTTGTTTCAGTAGCAATTCTGGCCCCATTGTAGATCACATATTTCTTCTTTACAAGGCATACAGCTGCATGAACATAAGCATCCTACAAGCTTCGAGCAGCTGAGCCTGAAGGAAAGCAACCAAGCCTGCTGGAAGTGAGCATCCATTCTCAATTCTGAAATCCTCAAAGGTTTCTAAACAATGAGCTTTCTTCAAAGAAAAAGAAAACAAAACTCCCAAACTAATAATCACAATAAAAAAAGCTTTTCTGTATTCTATCATTGCTCTTTTCTGAAGAAAGAAGACCACTTCTCATCTGAAAGGTCCTGAGAACTGAAATGGGAGAAGGAAGAGCATAGGAAATAGTGAATAGTGGTCAGGGTGCCGAAATGGGCACACAGTTGGTTGAGGCAATACTGATCACAAACTCATGGAACAGAGGAAGACATCTCCAAAGTGTCTTATATTGCTGGATGTGTCTTATGACATTCCTATCAAATTTCCAGTTTCACTGAAAGGTTATTAAGGTGCAAAGAGGTCATTATCTAATATCCAATACAGTGAACCATATGATTACCACAAAGCAACTTCTTCCCTTTAGGAAACTACATATGGCTGTTAATGCCCCAAAACTCATTGCCATGAAGTACTTGCCACATGGATAATTATCAGATTTCAGAGTGGAAAAAAATGCAGCTTTTGGACTTTGTGCCTTTTCTCATTTAAGTTTTTATTCCTGTGGACAGTTTTAGTGTCAGTCATCAGAGCAGTAGAATAAAGGCACACAACATTTTTTCAGAATTCTTGGGCAACGTATCTTTGTGCCCCAAGGAGTGACATAAATCTGTTGGGATCTGCTGGAAGATTTTGTTCATTTCCAGGATGTTCTCAGCGGCAGCTGACAGGGCAGCTGGGATGTGAAAGACTAGGATGACATTTCCTGACCACCTGCCATTGCCACAGCCAGTCTCTGTAAGGCAAAATAGAAGATCCTGGGAGCTACTGATTTTACACTCTTCCGCAACACAGGCAGATTGGCAAGGAAAACGCTTTTGAATGAAATAGTTTTTGTGCCTTGACTTGCATGCTGGTATGGGCTGTCATTACAGTAGATGTCACACAGAAACCTGACCTACACCCATCTAGAATAAGCAGGAAGAAATAATGGCTATAGGATCTTTAAGACGAGTCACTGATTTTGTAGAAGAAGAATGTAAATCAGATATTGACACAACAGCAGCCGATTAGCCCATCACAACTTCTACCTGCGTTGGGTTGGGGTTTTCCACATGGAAATTCCCAATTCTGAGACAAAACACGAGGAAAAGTGCACAAGTGGGTGAAAGCAATAATAATTACTACTCTCAGAGTGACAGGAATAAGCTATGATGCCTCAGCTCCACCACTGCTCTTGTACCTTTACCACCGAAGCGAGTTACCAGCTATTCCCTTGGAATCCCCTTTATCATTACCAGTGTATCCAGTGCCTTCTGCAATGACGTTCCTTTGAGGAAGGAAGCATGTGTTTTTTCCAAGAAAATAAGATTTTCTTTCTCTTCTCATCTTTTTGCTTACAACAGAGTTGGCCTTTTAATATACGACTGAAGCGCAGAAAGGCATGGAAACAAAGCAGGCAATGGCTGATTCATGTGTGTGAAGACCACAGTAAGGCCATGGTTTTGTTTGGGGATTCCACTGCGGAGATTGCAGCAAAAAGCCCATCAGGCACTTAATAGGCCTGTGATTTCTTCCAGAAACACAAGAAATCGTTGCTTATGTGAGTCAAAGAGAATAATTAGTTTGCTGCAGAACCACAGATCTTAGGTTTATGCCCACAGCTAACGTAGACAGTCTTATTTGATGACTGGGACCATACGAAGCTTGCTGGCTTTTTTTTTTTTTTACTCTCAAAACATACAAACTAGAAGAGTGACAGAAGAAACTGGAGAGAAGGTCACAGTATTAATGCCCTTTATGGGAACATAAAGTATTTTTGCATATTTCTTCAGACAGTGCCAAGCAAAGCAAAAATTCAGAGCCCACACCTATAATGGGCTCTGTAGGGCATTACCTCTATCAAATTGTGCATTAATCTTTGTGGGTCTGGGTGCTCCTAAACTTGCCTTTGAGTAATACTTACAGGCTGAGACAAACTTTAACATGCAAATTCCACAGAGTAAAGGTGCACAAACTATCTGCACAGATATGGGAATTTAGTTGGAAAACATTCTCTGGACCAACCTAAATAAATATCCCAAAAGAGGGGAAAAGTGTTCTTACTAGAACCATTTAAAAACCAATTGCTTGGCATTTAAGTGAATAAAAAATGTGTATATTCAGTTTCTACTATGATAAGTTTGTCTTTATTACAAAATCAGCAGAATTAAATCATATGAAAATGTGGTAGAATATTCAAGCCATTCTGAAAAACAGAATCATTCAAAGACATAAAAGATCTTCTCTGAGTACATCACGTTTTTAAAACCCAAACTGACACATGATCCAAAGCCTTGACTTTAAGGAAGTAGCAAGATGACATAACCTGGATAGAGAAGAATTACATGTAAAAAGAGAACTGTAGCTTCAAGGCTGCTTGTATACTAAAGTGATAAAAGAAACTGGTTTTGATCTTTCTCTCCTAACTTTAACATAGTTTAACAGTTCAGTTTTACATGAGACGGCCTGATTCTGCCTTCCTGTGTTAACACCGTAAAATAATAATTTTCAAAAAGTTGCCTTCTTGTCCTACAAACTGATCTTGCACTAGAGATAAAAAGGAAAACATATTTTTACATCACCCACATAATTAGAAATTTTGCTGAAGGAAGTGTCTGGTGGGCTCAAAGACTCAATTGATTTCCTATATAGCGCAACTTCCGACTGACATCCTGGTACTCCATGTCAAAAGATGCCCATTTGAAATGTCACATTCCCCTGATTTATCCCTGAATAAATCAATAGCAAAGCTTTTATTTATTTATTTGTCTAGGTAATCAGTCACTCACCTTGCTTTTAGTCACCTGAAAAAAATACATTCTCACAGACTTCCTAAAAATAAAGCCTAACCAATGGTACAGTAATACTAACACCAACCTAGTAATTCATCATAGGGAACCTCTTATTAAGATTTTCAACACAACCATTACCAAGCAGTTCCTGAAAGTCAAACTCTGACATGATATCTTTTTGCACAGAGCAGTAAGCACATACTTACTCTTTGAGAGACTGTTCTAAATGCCGCACTCGTAGAAACGCTTCATCTCTCTCTTCATTAGCTAATCTAAGCCTTGCCATGACAGCCTCATCACGTTCTCGTTGAGCAGAATAAACTTCTTCCACCAGAGCTGCAAAATAACCAGTACGTTGACCAAATAACCATTTTGACAGAGAAAGACAAGATTGTATTTTTAGGTACACCTTATGTGGAATTTTGCCAGCATCTCCTAAAATCAACATTTTTCCTCTGACCTTGGATCCTCTGGATAAAGTCTGTGCTGCTCTTTAGAAACAACATTAGCTTGCCACTGCTATAACTTCAGGAATGAAAATAACACTAAGAGTTTTCAAATTCATAATGACATAGGGCAAGGAAGTGTTCTGCTTTAAATACTTACTTCATGGAAAAGTAATTTTTAAAGCTCAGAATCATATGAGATGCTAGAAGGTTTCTTTATCTATAGCACACAGAATCAAGAGTATCGATCCACTGAAGCGAATTCTATCATCACACTGCTTCCTATTAAGGTGGCACACTAGCTCACTCTAATATTTTCATGGCAAGTCTATCTCTAGAATCACAAAAGTGGCAAGGCTGGCATCTCCCCTTCACTGTCAAAGCCTTTACTTTATTTTGTAATATACTGTTATATTATCTGTTACAGCATACATGGAACTTAGAGCATTAAGTGCCAATAAACTAAGATTTACTGTCTATCCTTTGTAACAAACTAACATCTTCAAGTCATTCCTTATTCTGAGCTTACGTTTTCCTCCTGCATCTTCCCTGTCAATATGTCTAACACAACCCCTGGAACATTGCCAGAATCTTTACCTCAACCCTGCCTCTGCTAAAATCTTTAATCATACTTTCATTATTTCCCTCTCTAATACTGTAAATCTCTCCTGATAGTCCTCATAAAGTCTACAGTCAAAACTTCTAGGACTTTCAGGATGCTATAGAGAGTCTGCTGTCATTCCAAGGCAGAGGACTGTTTCTAGCATCCTCTCTGATTGCTGCAGGCATCTCCAAAAATTAAGCTAAGAGTGAGGTCTACAGGTTCCAGAATTCTCCACACTCCCTTTCTGCTGTGCCAGGCTGTTTATGTTTTTTTTTTTCTTCCTCTTGTTGTTTGCTTATTTTTTTAAGCCTAACATCAAGCTCCAGCCTCTACCGAATTTTGGCCACTTTTACCATTCCTTTAAAGATTCTTCTGTAACAAGCTGTTACTGCTGTGCTTATTTCTTCAAAATATCTGCCCTTCTCTGAGCTACTGGAAAAGCCATTAAGAGCTCAAACAAATGCTTTCTGTTCACTTTTGCCTAGAGCCTACACTGCTGTTCTTTCTGCAACCTGACAACAGCTTTGCTGCTTTAAGAGATTAGTTTTCTCTACTCCACCTTTGTATATCATTATATAAAACAAAGTTGATCTATGTAGTATGGTATAAAGGACTATGGTTCTTCAACAGGAATGGAACAATATAAAAGTAGTTGGTTTTAACTATCTGGCTGGACACAGTACATCAATACTGAAAGGGGGGAAAAGGAAACACAGAATGTAGCAAGTTTCAGTGGAGTGCACAAGCAGCTCTGATAAGCAAAGATACAAGGAGAAGATGAAAAGAAAGGAATCTGGAAATATGAATTGGGTAGATGTGCTCAAGGTAGAAAAGCAACCCTCTTGTTAACCTGGAAAAAGAGGGTTTTTTTTGCAGATCTACCAGAAGGGCTAACATTTGGAACAGTAAGAACAGACCGCACAAAAGAAGATAAGGAAAAATTACATGTTTTTGCCAGGGGGGCAGTCCTCTGTCTGTCCTCTCACAAATATCTCCAGAGGAGCAAATCTTGTGATCAGCGTAGAAATGTAAAATTTGTGCACTAACAAGAAAATAAACAAAACTCCAAGACCAATTTAGTTCTCTCTTATTTGAATATTTGTTTCATAAGAACTTTTTTTTTCTTGCAGATCCATTTGCTCTATTTGCAACAGGAAAGCACAGCTTAATATGGAACAGAAAAATTAAGGCATGAGTAGAGCAACTGTGGGATTGTAAACAGACAACTTCTAAGCAGAAGATGAATCCAGTACCTGTTAAGATGAGCAGCTTGAAAAGAGCAAACACACACAGGTTGTAGTAGGATAGGAGCCGATTGAGATCTGATGTTTTTCCATGGTGCATTGTTTAATGGTGCCAAAAGTAGAGAAAGTCAGTACTAAATGACTGTGTAAACTAGAGAGAAACCAGTGTGTTCAGATAGATGTGGAATACACAAGTAGTTTAACTATATATGGTAATTGTTATCTAGCTGTACCTTAAAGTGTTTGTTTACTAAAGGCTTTTTTTTTCTCTCTAGTAAGCTGTCAGTTTATCTAGCATCGTGCCAGAGAGACAGCACAGAGAACCCTTACACTTTCCATCATGTTTCAATGAGGCTGCAAGTGGAAGCACTATGCACTTTTCATAACGAAAACAATTCCTGAAATGAATAAAAACTACAGAGATGTCTACAATAACTACAGATATGGCAATAATTGCTGTTCAGAAGTTGACATTCTCTGGCACTAAAATGGATGGATGCTGTGTATACAAGTACACTTAGGACTATGCTACATTATAACCTAATTCCCTCTCTAAACACCTATGCCCAGTGGTAATAATGACTATACTTGATTTATAAACCAGACTCTTGCTTGCATGTATTGAAACCAAACTGTCACATACAAAGTAAGAAAAAAACATTCAGAAAAGAATAATTTGAGTGACCTAAAAATCCTGCTTATCTGCAATGTAATCACCCCTGATAGGAACAGAGAGGCTGATTGCCTTGAACAGTGAACCCTCCCCTCCCTCCCTACCTCCCTGCAAAGATCCATTACAAAACACTGTTTCCTAATTAATGGTTATAGAAAGTAACTTGAGCAACTCTATTTCTCCCTTCCCCCCTTACTCCATTAAACTAATGCCTCCCCCTCGCCACTGAACTAAAGGCATGTCCCTATGATCAGATGCACCAATTATATTAATACATTTGAACAGTTCCACATCAGGTATGACAGTGTTTTTTTTTTTTCTGTTTATATTAAAATAGATTAGAAAGACTGTAGAAAAACATAAGATACATAAAAACAGGATGTAATCTGATTTTTAAAAGGCCAAAAAAGAAGTGGCACTTCAATGTTGTGCGGCAATACACAGGAGTGACCTGTGGGAGTGACTATAAGAAATATATAATAATAATGATATTTTTTCCAACCAGTTATTGAAACCTATACACCTCTGGCTCGTACAAGAAAACATTTTATATCATTTTCAGATGTGTACTTGAAGCATAACGTGTCCAACAAAACATGGAGAGATGCACAAAACATTCTCTATTTTAAAACAAGTAATAAATATCCAGATCATCACCCTTGTGCTCCTTAAGAATGCCAAAAGAAAATAAAAGACAATAAGAAATCACGCTCTTAATTTCCATTCAAGGTATGGCATATGCTGCAAGCCACTAGGTGCCATACTGGAACACTGACTTTATGCCCGAGTCAATGAAAATGCAACTCAGCTACTTAGTCACCACAAGGTTTTTCTTGGAGACCTTCCAATAGTGTACCAACAAGTCCTATCCTGTTTATCCTGCGGCTCGACTAACAAAAAATGGGAATTCTTATAGTACTTATGCTTCAAGTAAGAATGTGACACACAAAAAAGAAGTATTAATAGTCAGATATTAAGTGGAAATTAATTGTGTCATTTAGTAAGTCATATGCATATAATGATAGAGTTACATTTCATTCCCGTAGTGCTCAATTAAAAAAAAAGAATGATTTTTCCAATGCTTATAAATATTTTAATATATATAAACAAGACATTGCTATTTAGCTGTATAAACTTTATTTGCTTTGGAATAATTTTAAAACATCTTTCTCCTTGTAACTAAACCTCTTGCCTACTCTGAAAGAGCTCTTTACTTTAAAAGAATCATTATGCTAAACTCATCAATTCTAAAACATTTTTAGTTTTTAGTAAAGAAAACAATTGTAAACAGAGAGCTTTTGTAAGGTAGATAGCTATTACAAAGTTCAGTTAGAAAATCAATATAGCATTTTAGCTGGAATTTGCTCATTAAACACCCACAGCTCTAATGCAAATTATGATGGAATGAATAAAGCAAATACATATGCTTCTTTCTTTTTATTAAATGTAAAATCTACTGTTAATTGCATCTGGTATGTCATATAAACTTTTCTCCTTAACTATTAAATGGAAGCTTTTACAAAAGTCATTAGAGATTCTCTTTCTTTGACTTGTATAAATTTCAATATTTGTTCAGTAAAGGTTCACAGCAGTTAAATTACATTAACAAATATTATTAGCTACTATGTAAGCCAACTAAGTAAAATACTTATATTGCAGGTAAAACAAATCATTGGGTGTTTACAATAATATTTGGATATGTCCATTTTTAAACAAGCTTATCAAATATCATGTAATTCCTAGTCAAATGGGAGAGACTCAGAGTAGATTTTTTCTTCTCAAATACTCAAATTTGTTTAGTAAGCTAATTGTTTTCTAATATGGGCAAAAGTAAATATGAAGAAGATGAACCATACCAAGTATGAGTTTACTGAGTCAAAGTAGTGTACATATTTTCTTAGTTGAACCTTATTGTTTTGGCAAACCCGTTTTCTACACTTTAGCTTCCTCTAAAATACAGTAGTAGTAAGAAAGGGTGGTGAAAATCCTTCTAGTTTAAACACTGGTTCATGATCCTCTAAGCCACAAAACTTTGGGAAAAGGGAAGAAAGTTTGGTTCCCTAGGGGGGAAAAAAAAAGTCTATTTGCTGATTTCCTCGAGATCATCTGTTCAAACCGAGCAGGAAAGGCAATAAAGAAGAAATTATTAGGATTTAAAACATCTATCTCAACAGAAAACACTTTTTTTTTCCTCTCTTCAAAAAAAAAGGACTAATGTTAAGGCCTGAATAAGTAAAGTAAGGCCTTACAAAAAAACAACAAACAAAAAACCCACAGCACTATTCAGAACATGTAGCAAGTATTACAGCACTGTAACAATTGACTTTCAAGATAATTCAGTGCTACAAAAATCATACCTACATTTTTGA